GCTGAGGGTCCTGGTGCCGCGGGTCCCGGAGGTGCTCGTACTGGGAGTACTGGAGCTGCTGGGCCTGCGGGCACTTCTCGTACTGGAGCTGGTGGTGCTGCGGGCGTCGGTGCTATTGGGGGTGCTGGTGCTGGTGGACCTGCTGTGTCTTCTGGTGGTCCGTCTGGAGCTGGAGCTGCTGGGGGTGTTGGCGCTGAGGGTGCTTCTGGTGCTGGTGCCTCTGAGGGTGCTGGAGTTGGCGCTGCTGGAGCTGGGGGTGCTACTGGCACTGGTACTGTCGTGCGGGGTGCTGGTGCTGTCCCTTCTGGTACTGGTGGTGCTGAGCGGCCGCGGCCGTACTTCGTTCCGCTCCTTGAGCAGGTTCTTGGCCTTCCGCCCTCTGCTAGTCCGGCTCCTCCCTTAGAGTGTCCACCGCCTGTCCTGTCCAAGTCTCAGTTACAGCCTGCCTCTCCTCTACCTGCTCCTTCTCCCTACACTGGTCCTACTGGAGGTCTTGCTGAGCGTCGTGAGCCTGCGTCTTGCCCTGCGTCGCCTGTCCGTGCTGCTCGCACTAGTGGTCGTAGTTCGCGTCAGCGTCCTCCCCCTGTCCCCGGCACGCACCGGATGTCTCTGCGTCCTTCCACTGCTCCACTGCGTGCCCCTTTGCCTTCTCCTCCTGAGTCCTCTCTTCCTGCTCTTGCTGACCCCGAGTCAGACTCCCTTCGTGCTGCCAGTCCTACTGTCACGCGTCTCCTTGCTACTGTTGTCACTGATCCTTCCTTTGAGTCCACTGCTGCGTCTGCCCTAGTTGCTGAGCTTGTCGACTTCGCTGCTCGCTGTCGTCTAGACTACGCTGCAAGTCTTGTCGCTGAGTCTGAGTCTGTCTGTCCTCCGTCCGTCGGGGGTGAGTGTGCTCTTGGAACGGACGTCCTTGAGGACAGGCAGGAGGAGTTCCAGTGTCTTGCGGCTGCTTCACCTCATCTCGTGTCCATGCTACTTGCCCCTGAGGGAGACCCGGATGCACCAGACATCCCGACTGCGCGCTCTTACGCGGAGGCGATAGAGGGTACCTACTCCTCTCAGTGGCAGGCAGCCATGGATGCAGAGATGGCTTCCTGGAAGTCCACAGGCACCTACGTTGACGAGGTTCCCCCGCCTGGGGCGAACATTCTCAGTGGCATGTGGATTTTCAGGGTGAAGCGGCCGCCGGGTTCTCCGCCTGTCTTCAAGGCGCGCTACGTGGCTCGTGGCTTCAGCCAGCGTCAGGGAGTTGACTACTTTCAGACCTTCTCTCCCACCCCGAAGATGACCACTCTTCGGGTACTACTGCACATAGCCGCTCACCGTGACTACGAGCTTCACTCTCTTGACTTCAGCACAGCTTTCTTGCAGGGCAGCCTGCACGAGGAGATCTGGCTGCGCCGCCCACCTGGCTTCACTGGGACTTTTCCTCCTGGCACCCAGTGGAGCCTCCGGCGGCCAGTCTACGGTCTCCGCCAGGCACCTCGTGAGTGGCACGACACACTGAGGACTACACTTGCGGCTCTTGGGTTTGCTCCTTCTACAGCCGACCCGTCGCTGTTTCTGCGCACCGACACTTCTTTGCCGTCGTTCTACATCCTCGTGTACGTCGACGACTTGGTCTTTGCCACAGCTGACACTGCTGGACTCGCCTACGTGAAGTCCGAGCTGCAGAAGAGACACACGTGCACAGACCTAGGTGAACTGCGCAGCTACCTTGGCTTACAGATCACCCGGGACAGAGCACAGCACACCATTACCCTGACTCAGTCACACATGGTGCAGCAGGTCCTTCAGCGCTTCGGCTTCACGTACTCCTCGCCTCAGGCCACTCCTCTGTCTACTCGCCACTCGCTCTCAGCTCTGCCTTCGGATGAGTCCGTAGAGTCGAGTGGCCCGTACCCAGAGCTTGTTGGCTGCCTCATGTACCTGATGACCTGCACGCGACCTGACCTTGCTTACCCTCTTAGCATTCTGGCACGCTATGTTGCTCCTGGGAGACACAGACCAGAGCACATGGCTGCAGCGAAGAGGGTGTTGCGTTACTTGTGCAGTACGTCGGGCATGGGGCTTGTGCTTGGAGGGCGGAGTCCAGTGGTCCTCACTGGTCACGCAGACGCTTCTTGGGCTGACGACCAGGCTACGCAGCGGTCGTCACAGGGTTACACCTTCAGCCTTGGTTCCGGCTCTGTTTCGTGGCGGTCTACCCGCTCGTCTTCTGTTCTCGGCTCCAGCTGTGAGGCTGAGATCTACGCAGGGGCCATGGCTGCACAGGAGCTACGCTGGCTCACCTACCTGCTGACTGACCTAGGAGAGCCGCCTCGTTCTCCTCCAGTTCTGTACGTAGACAACAAGGCCATGTTGGCCTTGTGTCGGGAGCACAGACTGGAGCACAGAACGAAGCACATCGCTCTTCGCTACTTCCTTGCTCGTGAGCTGCAGCAGCGCGGTCAGCTGTGCCTTGCTTACGTGGCCTCTGAGGCCAACACTGCTGATATCTTCACCAAGGCACTCGCGCCTTGTGACCATCAGCGCTTCTGTACTTTGTTAGGCCTTGTGTCTACCTTGCCTCACTTGCTCACTTCTTGACCTTGCTTGTACCTTGACCTTTATATACTTGCACTTGCATGTTTAGCTTCATATATATATATATATATATACCTGCATGTGAACTGGCCTTGTGGCCCTTGAACTTGTGCTCAGAATGTGTGGTGACGTTGTGATCCACCCTGAGCTTGCTGTGCTTTGCTTGACTGGTCTTGTGACCCCTTGTTCTCCCCCACTTTGCCTATGGGGGTGTGTCAAACTCATATACTATAGTCTATGTAGGCTGTAGTGGGGTAGCTTATATGGGGTACAACACTTTAGGGTTTGGTACTTGTACTCCTCATGCTGCTCAATGCAATCATTATCGTTTCAATCTCCACAGATAGCTAGGTCGATTCGAATTCCCATGTATTCCTATTTATATCGCTGTATTTGCATCGTGTTCTTGCGACTCAGTATCGCGTTCTGGCGACGTAGCATTCGGAACTCCCCGATTCAGGCATTGGTCGTACCTGAATTATTGCGGCCAATATCATACATACTCAAAGTATGCCCGAAAACGCTTGCAGGTGTAATCAGGCCAACAGTAATCCGAACAGTGGCACTGTTCCCAGCAGAAATCTGTCTTGGCGCGCCACCCGCAGCTTCACCAGTTGACCCACGTTGCTTCTGTACAGTGAAGGCACCACAGTGCAGGCATGTCAGAAGCGAATCCCACACCACACACGCATCTGTCCACAAATCGAGCCCCCCAACCCAAACCAAAAGGAGGAGCCGCCGTGACAGCAGCAGCAACACCGCAGTCCAGCGTCGGCATCTCACGGAGTCACCACGCTGCGGCGCGCAGCCTCACCGTCCCCTCGCCAATCGTCCCATCGCTCGTCGCTTCCGCCGCCATATCATTATGGCGCCACGTTTTACCGTGCAAGCTGGCGTCGCCGCAGTCGTCGCCGGCGTCGTCGTTCTCTCGCTCGTCGCACGCGCCAGCGCCGTGAACGTGTACGACACGGTAGTGACATTCAATTACCCGCAAATCGGCCGTGGAACGGTGGGTTTCATCGGTTCCGTGCGCTTCAATGCGACTTGGGCGAATATTTTTCGCACTGGGGGTGACGTCATCATCGTGTGGGGCGCGAAGACGCCGTTCTATCACGAATGCAACAGCATCTCCTTCCACTCCGTCCCGGGCTGCGCCGGCACCCCCAAGGCCACGTACCTGCGGCCTGCGAACAATGCACCCACTTCGTGGTGAGCTGAGCTGCCATGATCTGTCGCACAATGCTCACTTGTTCTCTTCAACGCAGTATAGACACTGTTAATTCACTCCGTTCTGTCCATTTGTGGCCGTCGCCTTCCACCGGTGCTCACGTCTGATCGTTCTCCCTGTGTTCCCCTTTGCTCCCCTCTGCTCCCCTCTGCTTCCCTCTGCTCCCCTCTGCTCCCCTCTGCTTCCCTCTGCTCCCCTCTGATTCTCTTTTCTCCTTGCTCCCCTACCGCCCCTATGCCCTCACTGCTGCTGCTCACAGGGTGCTCCCCGTCGGAGACACTCCAGAGTCAGTGAAATGCGAGACGGGTAAGCATGCACACCTTTTCCCGCACTCTCTTCCAGGGTGTCACGTATTTGTCCTTCTGGTAAGGGCAATGCGTCTGCCAAGGCCTCAGAGCTAGCCTGCTGCAGTGCGGTGCATTGTGGTGTGGTGCAGTCCGATGTGGTGTGGTGTGTGGTGGAGTGCAATGCGCAGAAAGAAGGCCAATGACACATGGCTGTGTGTCACACGCCTTCTCATACATCAGCCGCCACATCATTCTTGTGCTGCGCCAATCATTCGCCTGCTCTATTCCGCGCACACTACTCTGCCATGCCTCATACTGATGTGAATTCTGAATTGAACCTCACAGTGTCCTTCATCTCCCTCCTCACTCACTCTTTCTCCCTCCTCCCTGCCTCCACAATCGCCCCATACTTGTCCCCAAGGCTGCGGGGCGGACAATGTGGACTGTGGGGTGGAGGCCAAGTGCGGGATGATTGACAGCAAGGCTGCGTGTGTGTGCCCTGGGTCTCTAGTCTTCGACGCCACTGCCAAGCAGTGCCGTGGTGAGTCGCGCTTGATGCATCAGTGTGAGTGCGTCGTAAGGTGGGGTGAAGTGAGAGTGGAGCCTCCTGGGGTGTGGGTGCAGATGCCATGTTCATCCCTGCGTCAGTCCATAGGACGAGCATGGCAGTGCGTGTGCCCTGGAGACTCCCCTTTCAGTGCCACTGCCAACACGTGCCAACGCCACTCAGGAGTCATTCATCGCTCACAACCATTTCTTCTCTTTCTTCCTTGAGCTCCTTCCTGCTCCTCACCGCTTTGCTGCTCGTGTTTCCAAGGGATTGACTGGTGCCTCCCACTTCCTCCCATTCGAGGGAGGGGCCTGATCTGATGCATCTGGTGTACGAGTGGGAAGCCCCCATGCATCCTCACCTACGCTGCAATCTAACGCAGTCGCCCACCCAACCTTGCTTCCTCCGCCCCTTTCTCGCCCCTGCCCTACTGTGTGCAGCGCCCCCACCCTCCTGTGCCACCATTGTGTGTCCGACCAACTCCACTTGCAATGCCACTGCCAACCCGCCCTGCATCTGCAATGCAGGGTTTGAGATGACAAACGGCCAGTGCGTTGGTGAGTTTCCTCCTTCTCACCCTCTCTCTCATCTCCTCTTCCTTCTCTCTTCCTTCTCTCATTTTTCCTTTTCTCCTTCTTCCTTCCCACCCTCTTGCCTCTCACTCTTGCATATCTCGGTTAATCTCACCCTCCTCCCTCTCACTCTTGTTGCTTACCCTTGCCCCTCACTCATGTCTCTCACCCATTTGCCTCTCACTCTTGCTTCTTACCCTCTTACCTCTCCCCCTTGCTTCTCACCCTCTTGCCTCTCACGCTTGCTTTCCTCGCACCTTGCTCACCTTTTACCTGCTGTGTGCTGCGCCCCCACCCTCCTGTGCCACCATTGTGTGTCCGACCAACTCCACCTGCAATGCCACTGCCGACCCGCCCTGCATCTGCAATGAGGGGCTCACCATGACAGACGGCCAGTGCGATGGTGAGCCTCCTCCTCCTCATCTTCTCCCTTCTGTCCTTCGTTCTCTCCCTCATCCCGTGCGCTCCCTTTTCACCGTCTTCCTTCTCTCCGTCGCCCTTCTCTCCTTTTTCCTTCTCTCCCTCTTCTTTCTCTCCCTCTTTCTCCTTGCCTTCTTCCTTCTTGCCGTCTTCCTTCTCTCCATCTCCCTTCTCATCTTGCTTTTATCCTGATTGCTTCTCTCCCATTTCCTTCTCCCCCTCTTCCTTCCCTCCCTCTTCGTTCTTCCCCTCTTTCTCTCTCTTTCTTGCTTCTGGCCCTGTTTCTTCTCTCCCTCATCTTTCCCTCTTGCTTCTCACATTCTATTGTCTTACCCCCTCCCTTCTCCCTCTGGCTTCTATCCCTCTTCCCACTCGCCATCTTTATCCACTGCCTTCACCTGCTCACTCCCTGACCAGACACGGATACTAGGAACACCACTTATTAGCGGTGGGAAACATTGTGTGGCTGCAGATTTGCAGTTGTTAGCAGAGTATTTTAAGAAATTATACAGATTGTTTGCTGTCGAAAAAAAAAATATTGAGAAAGCTTGCTTCTTGTTTTTTGCAATGACAGCGTGCTTCATTTCAATAGGGTAATTGCAACATTCTCGTCTGACTATCGTATAATACACACAGAATGTAGCCAAGAAAGGGTGGGTGGGTGGGGATGTGGAACGGTCGAGTTCCGAAATGAAGACGTGGGTGGATGACGAATGTTGTAGCCTGTAGTGAGGCTTGTCATGTGGGGTACGGTTGGTTAGGGTTAGGCATGTACCCCAACTCAAAGTACTAGAATCATCATTTAGTTTCTAATATGGTATCACCTCGGTTAGGATCCTGATGGATCCTGTTTTTCCTTCTTAGCCTCTCGCTCCCGTTGCGCCCAGCCTACCACACCCGTAGCGCCCTACCGTTGTGCCCGTCCCGTCCCCTAGCGCCCGTCGCGCCTCCCAGCCCGTCGTGTCGCGCCCTGCCCGTCCCGTCGCGTTGGGCCGTCCCGTCCCGTCCCCTCGCTACCTGCGCCCTTCCCTGTGTCTTCCTTGGTCTTCCCCCTCCTGCTCCTCCGGTAGAGCCACCCCTCCCTAGTTCAGCCCCGTCAGGTTTGTCACACGCTACCCCCGCCACCCCTCCCCCGCCCCCCCCCGGTAGCCCCTCAGGTCCCGTCCCCTTCTCCTCAGTCTTCCTCACAGTCACTGCAGCAGCCGTCGGTACTTCCTCCCCAGGATACTGCAGACCCTGAGGGTGCTGAGGGTGCTGCGGACTCTAGAGGTGTTACCTCTATAGGTGATGGTGTTCGTCCTGAGAGTGTGCCTGCACGAGTCCCTGGTGCTAGGGGTGCTGGACTGGGAGCTGAGCCAGTGTCTGCAGGAGGTTCTAGTCTTCGAAGAGTTGGTGTTAATCGAGCCGTCTCTGGAGGTGCTACGACTGGGGGTGCGGGTGCGCCCTCTGCTGGACCTGGAGAGCCTGGGACTGACCGCATTGTTGCTGGTGGCCCTGGCTCTGGGGGTGGTAAGACTGGTGGTTTGGAGAATGATCCTGGGGCCAGGCCCCTAGATTCGTTTTGAGGTAGTCTGACGCCTCAGAGTACACCCCTCTTCCTAGTCTGGCTGTCAGAGTTACCTATTTTTTTTTGTCTGAAAATTCAGACAAGCACAACTTTTTTTGTCTGAACTGTCAGAGTTACTTCAAATTTTAAAGATGTTCATGCAGTTTCATAACACCATAGTTATAATAGCATTGAAGCTGATTACAGCATACCAACGCAATTGTGCGACCAGAAATGGGGCACTCTGATTGGTTATTTTTCAAGAGTTAGGAACACTGAGCAGTCAGGGTCGAGGTGTGGGAAATGGGCATCGTGCAAGTGCCACAATTTTTCTGTGCAAGTGGCAAGCTCACAATCAGCTGACCTGTCAGCAGGCACGGTATCGCTCGGCACTTTTCTGTGCTGGGCGCGCTGACAGCAGCAAGAGTTTTCAACCGTGTACACCGTAGGTGCGCGGAATATTTTCTCCTAAGTTGCAGCTTCGAAATTTTGACTCGGTTTGGCAAGGGGAAATGATGTGCGGTTCTGCTGAAGTACGAGACTCATATGTCACAAGGCTTTCGTTTGCACCAATTCGCTTTTCGCCATGTGCGATTCGCTAAAATCGTTTTGGCCATGTGCGATTGGCTATCTAGTTTCACAATTGAAGGGTTTTTATGAGCCCCCATTAAATTCGACACTCGTGATAGCGTCGACAAAGTAGTGTATTCGGGTGCCCCTACTCGAGCAGTTTTATCCGGAGGAAGTCCACCCTCTCTCGCGCCAGACTGACAATGGGATGCACTGGCTACAGTGCGTACTGTTGCTTGGACCCTAGCGATCTGGTGCTTGGAACCGAACCCCAGCTAGGTGGCAGGATTTCTGCTAGCTCGGACGATCCGGGCCCCTCTGAAAAAAACCCTGTAAAATCCGAGCCAGCGAAAAATCCGACCACGACAAATCCGGGTTCGAGCCAGAAAAGGCCTGAAAACCTGCATTGCCAGACTCGGGTGGGGGTTTGCTAGGGAGGCTGGAGATGAAGGAGCGGCTCTAGAGGTGTGGGAGAGAGACTTACGGGCTGGTCCAAGAAGCACCTGATGACAATCAGGGTTCATCTAACACCTTGTAATTTCAGTCAAAGCAGGGTTATTGCCCTGATAACAAAAGCCCTGCTCCGGAGGAACGGTACACAACGTTATGTGGAAGAAAGCTTGCTTTTGCGTACGGTTAAGTGCGGCAAGTGTGCTTATATGGTATGTGCTGGGACCATTCTGGACGGATTGAGGTCAGTACAGCCGGGCTGTCAGTATGGCCAATGTCAGTCTGGCGCGAGAGAGGGTGTCGTTAGTGCTGGCCCGTACACACGTGGGTGTATCGAAAAGAAGTTTCGAGGACGTTTCGTTCCGATAACCTTTCATTCAGGCTGGCGGAAACCCCTGTATAACTGGTTTCAGAGTGGACCCCCGCTACAAGTCTAAGGCTCAGCCTACACTACTATGACTACCCTGAAATTTCAGACTAGTCAGTTCAAAAAACTCTGAAAGATCAGACGGGGTGCATAAAAAAATTCTTTGAGTTCAGACTAGGTACAAAAAAAAAGTCTGAACGGACTCTGAATCAGACTCCAAAGTCTGATATATAGGGCCCTGCATGGGGCTACCACCGCCCCGGACACTACTCCTCCCCCCCACCCCTACCTGACCCGGCACCAGGCCCTTCTACGTCGTGCACGTGAGGAGCAGCTAGAGTTGCAGCGAGAGAGGCTAGCTTTAGAGCGGCAGCACTTGTAGCTATAGCAGCTGGAGGAGCAGCAGCAGCAGCGGCAGCAGCAGGAGCAGCAGCCGCCGCAGCAGGAGCAGTAGGAGCAGCAGCAGCTGCCACGGCAGGAGCCGCACCAGCAGTAGTAGCCATCACGACGGAAGCAGCAGGAGCCGTAGCAGCAGCAGCGGCCGCAGCAGCAGGAGCAGAAGTAGCAGCAGCGGCCGTCTACGCCTCCTGTCTCTAGCCTTCGGGCCCTTGGTCTCCCTTCCCCTCCTCCCTCCTCTCCTCCTGTATTCGATCCCACGTTTCCTCCTCCTAACTCCACCCTGGCTGTTTTCCTCTGTTCTCAGCCTCCATTGCCCCCTCCCCTTTTTTCACACTTGGGCTTCTCACTCTCCTCGTGCTCGTCTCTCGTCCCCTATTCCCGTCACCAACCTTCGTACTGTCCTGTTTCATTCTAACTCTCCTCGTCCGTCTCCGTCTGTGCTTCCTTCTCCCCCTGAGGCGGCCCTCACAGCTTCCCTCTGTACTCCTGTCACTGACTACTACTGCACGTACCGTCCTGTTCTCTCTCATGTTCTCGCCTCTCTTGTTACGGACTCTCGTGCCTCTCTGTCCTCTGTCTCTGCCCTTACTGCCGCTGTCACTAAGTCTGCCGCTACTCGCCACCTTGACTACGACATTCGTGTCGTGGCTGCTCCTCCTACCAGTCTTCTGACCGTTGGGGGTGAGTCTGCCCTTGGCTGTGACGCCCTAAAAGCCAGGCAGACCCCGAAGCTCTTGACATACCGACTCCTCGCACTTACGCTGAGGCAGTAGCAGTGCCTTCGGCCTCTTAGTGGAGAGATGCCATGGACGCAGAGATGGCCTCCTACAGACACACATGCACATACGCCGACAAGGTTCCCCCTCCAGTTGATAGCATGTGGATCTTCAAGGTGAAGCGGCCATCGGAATCTCCTCTGGTCTTCAAGGCGCGTTATGTGGCTAGAGGTTCCAGTCAGTGTGAGGGAGTTTATCTCTTTAAGACCTTCACGCCTACCCCGAAGATGACCACTCTTCGTTCGCTACTTCATGTGCCAGAACAGAGAGACTATGAGTTACACTCTCTCGACTTCTCCATTGCCTTCCTTCAGGGTAGCCTACACGAGGAGGTCTTGCTGCGTCGTCCCTCTGCCTTCACTGACACTTTCCCTCCTAGGACCCAGTGGAGGCTCAGACGTCCACTCTACGGTCTCCGTCAAGTGCCTTGTGAGTGGCACGCCACTCTTCCCTCTACCCTGACTTACCTCGGTTTCTAGCCTACTTTTGCCAACCCGTCGCTATTGTTCACCGTGGCTCCACACCTTTCTTTGTACTGGTCTATGTCGATAACCTAGTTTTTGCCACTTCTACATGGTTCCTTTGGCAGACGTGAAGTCCGAACTGCAGACGTGACACACGTGTACTGACCTTGGTGAGGTGCGCCACTACCTTGGCATGCAGATCACCAGGGACAGAGCAGCTCGCACCATCACTTTGACCCAGTCACACGTGGTGCAGCAGATCCTTCAGCTGTTTGAGTTCCAGTTCTCCAGTGCACTGCCTATTCCTCTTGCTGTTGACCACAGACTCACTGAACCCTTTCCTGACGAGCCGTTTGAGCCTAGTGGTCCTTACCCCCAGAGCTTGTAGGTTGCCTCATGTACCTAATGACTTGTACTCGCCCGGACCTCGCCTTCCCTCTCAGCATCCTTGCCGGCTTTGTTGCGCCAGGGAGACATTGTCCTATTCACTGGACAGCTGCTAAGAGGGTGGTAAACTACCTAGCGATGACATCAGGCATGGGGCTTGTGCTTGGAGGGAGACATCCTGTCGTGCTTACTGGCCACTGTGACTCTTCTTACGCCGATGACGTCGAGACTAACAGGTCCACGCAGGGGCACTGTTTCAGTCTAGGCTCTGGAGATGTGTCGTAGAGTTCTACTCGTTCCTCCTCTCTAATGGTCCGTATATTGATAAGCCAGAAGGGTACACACATGCAATGAGCGATAGCACGGTGCTTAACATGCAAGGTAGCCAAGACTATCCAACCCCCCTAAGTCACCTAGAGCTCAAGGAGAGGCTCTAGGACAGTGAAACAGTCCC